GCGCGAACTGGGAGGACAGGGCGGGCGTTCATTTCCTCCTCAGTATTCCCCGACCTTGAGGACAGTTTCCGTTGTGTGTCCCCCTGGGGGGTTCTGGGGGGGTACCCCCCGAGATCTGGCCCCAGGCGCTGCAAGAAGCGCCCGAGACAGCTCAAGATGGCCCCATGACGGCCCCAAGAGGGGCCCAAGAGCAGGACCACGAACCAAACATTCGAGTCACCTGCCTCAAGAAATTCCCAGAACGCCCCAAGAGGACCCCAAGATGCCCCAATAATTGCCCAGGAGGCCTCCAAGAGCCCCAAGAGGCAGCTCCTTCCTTGCCCCTGCCATTCTCACCAATCATCCCCACCTCTCCTCCCGCAGAGGCGGCGGCGGAGGGCGAGGGAGAGTGCCCGCTGGCCCAGGCCAAGAAGGATGACATCCGTCGGCTGGCGGAGGAGTTGCGCAGATCCAATTCTTGACGCTTCGCGCATCCCAGCCAGCCCAGCCAGAGACGATATTATTTTGATTTGGGCAGTGTACGCCTCTTTTCGGCGGCTGCCGTCGGAGGGGTAGGGGGTAGGAGGTAGCAGGATTGGTAAAACCCCCGAAAGGTGAGAAGAGGGGTAAATGGAAGAGGAGATGCTCTCAACCACTTCCGCCCAGGGGGCTGGTGGGATTTCCCGATTTGCGCCTCGTGCCACATCTACTGCCCGACGCCTGCAGCACGCTCCATCGGCGGCGAGAGCTGGTCGTACGTCGACCACAGAATGGTCTGCTCGTTCTGCGGCAAACGTGCCCTGCTATATTGGAGCGGTGGGCGCGTCGATGCCATGAGGGCTTCTCTGCGCCCCCGGACTATGTGGTTGTTTAACCAGTCCATGGAGACTCTGGACGCGCAGGTAGTAGAGCACGCTTCGAGTTCGAGCGAGACTCTGGGCGCGCAGAAGAAGGCTTTGAAGCGAGTCTTCAAAGACCTAGGGCTCACAATTGGGAGGGGTCGCGGCCCGCGTCCAGGCCGCGCGCGGGTCATAAGCGAGCGCTGGGTTCTGAGTCAACTACAAGTCTTGCAAGAGAGACTGATGCGCGACCCCATCCTCGAGCCCGAGAGGAATGCCGTACGGAAACTTCTTCGATACATGCTGGTTCGGTGACGCTGGCGCGTTCGTGGGTCTCGCACCTCCGGAGGCATGCGTCAAGAGTCTGTCTCTGATTGATGGCGTAGTGGGAGGCCAAAAAGCGCCAAGCAAAAAAGGGACCAGCTCTCCGACAGCGACGGCGGCGAAGGTTGTCCCCATGGTTGTCCCGATGGTTGCCCCCGTGGTTGTCCCGATGATTGTCCCCGTGGTTTGCCCGATGATTGCCCCGATGGTTGTCCCGATGGTTGTCCCGATGGTTGTCCCGACGGTTGTCCCGATGGTTGTCCTGATGGTTGCCCCGATGGTTGTCCCGATGGTTGTCCCGATGGTTGTCCCGATGTTTTTTTTTCTGATAGTTTGCCCGACGGTTGCCCCGATGGTTGTCCCCATGGTTGTCCCGACGGTTGTCCCGATGATTGCCCCGATGATTGTCCCGATGGTTTTCCCGACGGGTGTCCCAATGATTTTTCAGATGGTTGTCCCGATGGTTGTCCCGACGGTTGCCCTGATGGGTCTCCCGATGGTTGTCCCGATGGTTGTCCCGATAGTTTGCCCGATGGTTGGCCCGATTGTCATCCCGATGGTTGCCCCGATGGTTGCCCCGATGGTTGTCCCGATGGTTGTCCCGATTGTTGCCCCGATGGTTGTCCCGACGGTTGCCCCGATGGTTGTCCCGATGGTTGTCCCGATGGTTGCCCCGACGGTTGTCCCGATGGTTGTCCCGGGTGGCTGTCCCGATTGTTGGCCCGACGGGGGGGGCCCTTGCTGGGGCGGCTGCATGTTCTGCATTCCAGGCCTCCTTGTGGTCGTCGTCGCGGGGGGGGGCTCGCGGACCCTGTCGGGGTCGTCGTCGTCATCGCCGTCGTCTTTGAGGCTGAGGGCATCTCGGAATTAAGAGTTGCGAGGATGTCTCCAGCGAAAGTGGCCGAACCACCATGGAGCAAGGCGTCTCCGAGGTCAAACTTGCGAGGGCATCTCACGCGAAAGTTGCCTGACCACCATGGGACGGTTCAAAAGTGATTTCTGACGCATAGGGGACCGCGCGGGGCCCTGATCAGGGAGCTTGACCTGACCCCTGACCACCCCCAGCAATGTGTAAACCCTTTGCGGGGGACCCGCCGCCCCAAACAAGACCCCCTCCCATCCCCTTGGGGGCGTCACCGCGGCAGGGCGCGGTTCGAACACATAAAAACCCTGACGGGTGAAGTCCGCCTCGGCTCAACGGAGAGGGGAACGGAGGAAGGGGGAGGAGGTGGAGGGGGGGAGGAGGAGGGGGCAGAATGAGGAATCCAGCAATCATGAGTTTGGTGATGGTGCAGAGGGCGAGCACGATAGAGGAGGATGAGGAACGGGGGTAAGGATAAGCAGGAGGGAGGACGATGAGGACGGCGGCGACGACGACGATGCGCCGAACACGCTCGTGCACCCCCCATGGGAGGGGGTTCGGCGGAAGCGCGCGCCTATGCCTGGGGCCCGAGGGTTCGGCGGACTCTCAGCCCCCCTTGGCCCAGCGCGCGGGGAGGGCGGATTTTGACCCCCCCCCCGTCCAGGTCCAGGGGGCAGGGGGCAATTTTGTAAAGCGTGCGCCCTCGATCTGTGTAACAGCTGCAACATTTTTAGCTTCGGGGTCATAAATGGCGAGGAAGTCTCAGCCGATTGTGCAACGAGGCAGATCGATTGTCTTGGATTCTTTGGCCAAGCAAAAAAGGGGCCAGCTCTCCGACAGCGACGGCGGCGAAGGTTGTCCCCATGGTTGTCCCGATGGTTGTCCCCGTGGTTGTCCCGATGATTGTCCCCGTGGTTTGCCCGATGATTGCCCCGATGGTTGTCCCGATGGTTGTCCCGATGGTTGTCCCGACGGTTGTCCCGATGGTTGTCCTGATGGTTGTCCCGATGGTTGTCCCGATGGTTGTCCCGATGGTTGTCCCGATGTTTTTTTTTTTCTGATAGTTTGCCCGAGGAGTTGTTTCCTGAATCGAAGCACACGCGGATATCAACGAGCGTGTCTTTCAATGATTCCCGAAAACTCCTGTCTGAGCTCTGGAATGAAGCTGCACGGACTGTTGTACCCGACGCTTGGACTTGTCTTGATACTGAAAGCATTCTGAATTACAGTCTACATTATCGTGATGATTATCCAGCTGCCTGTGTCAAGTCCCGCCGCTGTGCCAGTCCAGCATGCTCGGTGGCGATTGTTCCAGAAGGCACCGGGGACCTCTTGGATGTTCGTTGGGATGTCGTGGAGGGCCTCTCGGGGGCCACTTGGAGGCAGTTTTGAGGCTTCTTGGGGCACGTCTGGGGCTTCTTTGGGGCCTCTCGGGGTTCTCTCTTGGGGCTTATTGTTTCGCCTCTTTGGGCCCTGTTGGGCGTCCTCCCCACTGCAAAAAATTCATCCCCAACTCCTCCTTTTTCCTTTGTGGAGCCCTCCCCAGTGTCCAAATCCTCCCCAACTCCTCCGTTTCCCTTTGAAGAGTCCTCCCCAATTCCCAAATCCTCCCCAACTCATCCTTTTTCCTTTGTAGAATCTCCCCCGATTCCGAAATCCTCCCAAACTCCTCCTTTTTCATTTGTAGAATTCTCCCCAATTCCCAAATCCTCCCCAACTCCTCTTTTTTCCTTTGTAGAATCCTCCCCAATTCCCAACTCCTCCCCAACTCTTCTTTTTTTCCTTTGTGGAATCCCAGCCCAATTCCCAAATGCTCCCCAGCTCCTCCTTTTTCCTTTGTAGAATCCTCCCCGATTCCCAAATCATCCCCAACTCATCTTTTTTCATTTGTGGAATCCTCCCCAATTCCCCAAATCCTCCCCAACTTCTTTTTTTTCCCCTCTGTGGAATCCTCCCCAATTCCCAAATCCTCCCCTAACTCCCTCTTTTCCCTTTGTAGAGCCCTCCCAAATTCCCAGATCCTCCCCAACTCCTCTTTTTTTCCTCTGTGGAATCCTCCCCAATTCCCAAATCCTCCCCAACTCCTCTTTTTTCCTTTGTCGAATCCTCCCCAATTCCCAAATCCTCCCCAACTCATCCTGTTTCGTTTGTAGAATCCTCCCCAATGCCAGAAAATCTTCCCCAACTCATCCTTTTTCCTTCCTGTAGAATCCTCTCCAATTCCAAAATCCTCCCCAACTCCTCCTTTTTCCTTTTGTAGAATCCTCCCCAATTTCCAAATCCTCCCCAACTCCTTTTTTTTCCTTTGTAGACCCTTCCCCAATATCCAAATCCCTCCACAACTCCTCCTTTTTCCTTTGTGGAGTCCTCCCCAATTCCCCAATCCTCCCCAACTCCTCCTTGTTCCTTTGTAGAATCCTCCCCGATTCCCGAATCCTCCCCAACTCATCCTTTCTCCTTTTGTAGAATCCTCCCCAATTCCCAAATCCTTCCCAACTCTTCCTTTTTCCTTTGTAAGAATCCTCCCCAATTCCCAGATCCTCCCCAACTCCTCCTTTTTCCTTTGTAGAATCCTCCTCCATTCCCAAATCCTCCCCAACTCCTCTTTTTTCCTTTGTAGAATCCTCCACAATTCCAAAATCTTCCCCAACTCATCCTTTTTCATTTGTAGAATCCTCCCCAATTCCCAAATCCTCCCCAACACCTCCTTTTTCCTTTGTAGAATCCTCCCCAATTCCCAGATCCTCACCAACTCATCTTTTTTTCCTGTGTAGAATCCTCCCCAAATACCCAGATCCTCCCCAACTCTTCCTTTTTCCCTTTCTGTAGAATCCTCCCAAATTCCCAAATCCTCCCCAACTCTTTTTTCCTTGGTAGAACCCTCACCAATTCCCAAATCCTCTCCAACTCATCCTTTTTCCTTTGTGGAATCCTCCCCAATTCCCACATCCTCCCCAACTCCTCTTTTTTCCTTTCTGTAGAATCCTCCTCAATTC